GGGGGGGGGGGGGGGGCTCTGTTGGTGTCGTACTCATAAGGCTCACAAGGCGCCATCCCTTTCAAGACGGACGAGCGTTGGTCGTGAATCCCCACATCCCGGCACTCGTTGCTACGGATTCACCCTCTTGTTTGACACGGGAGGTTCTCGTTCCAAGAATCGGGCGCTCTTCCACATTTCTCCCCGACATATTTTCCTGCAAAAACGGAAAAATATTTGCCCCATCTTTCGTGCCCTTTCTTGCGTGATATTGTACCGATGGTTGTTTCGAAACAACGGACTAATCTATTATAGTTGGTGATGACTGAATAAATCGTTAGGTAGTGATGGGTTGCGGTGTGTCTCCGCAAAGCCGCGTACCTTGCACGACGCCGCCGTGTTGGTGAAGACCATGGTCCGGCTCGTGTCCGCATCCGAAACGGTGTCTTCCGTCCGTCGCAATAAGCATGCGCACAGCAGCAAACCGAGATCGTCGAAGATAGCAATTCAGCAACAACATCGGAGGCGACACAAGGCAGCAGACGCTGATGATGAGCGTTTTTCCTGTCTTGGAGAGTTGTACACGAATCACATGACACGATGATAGGTGCACGCAAGCCTGTGACGGAAAAAAAGTGTGGTCGACATGTGGCGTGGTGGGACAAGACCCGCACGCCACCAGTGAACAGAACGCACCGCGCAGCAGCACAATCATCATCTGTCACCAACAAGCGTGCCGATCACCACTACGGCGCAGTCACCATCATCGCCACCGCCACCACAATCAATCCCAGAAAAACCGCAACGATGTCAAGCAGCAGCAGCAGCAGCAGCAGCTTGCCTGCGCAAACGCGTTACAATATAATGACAACCCAAGTCTCCCCGTTGTCGACTTCATCTGCCAACGAGAGCTCCCTGTGTTGCAGCTTCCCTCCCTTGTTAGCTGCGTCCGTGCTTTCCCGCGGAGGCTGCAGCGCCTTCCCGCGGTTGCGTGGGTTGAACACGGTGACAATGTTAACCCAGGACCGATGTTGACGACATGAACGTTGATTAATACACACCGTGCTCCTTCCAGCACACAAAGGCGCAACTACAGAACATAAAACACACACGAAGACACAAAGAAATAAACACATGTGCGTGCTCTATCATGAGGGGCCCCGCACTTGAACCCCCAACAGAATACCCCCCTTCATACATTTCCCAGATCGGATATCGCATCCAAGTGTCCCCAGACATCCTTCTCCTCCCCCTCCCCACCGAAAAAAAAAAAGTCACCTCTGAGAAGGTCGATGACTGCCTGAATCTTGTCGAACACCTGTCCACCAACCTCAACAAAGTTCTGTTTGATGGAGAGAACAAAAAAAGAGAACAAAAAAAGAGCAAAAAAATAAAAGCACAGTTCAAGGAAGTAGTCTTGAGGGAGGGGAATGCAAAAAGAAACACGGCAGACACACAACAGAGTCCACGTTCAATGGTTTGCAAGTTCGACCTACAGAGTCCGCGGATGGACACAACGAAATCGTGCGTGCAAAATGGCGATTTTCCTGAGTAAATTTAGGTCGAATCCGAATTTAGCAAGACGATCAAGGCAAGTGCAAGTTCCCCATGCATGCAAGAACACAGCAGACAGCAGGCGTTGCGAGGGGGCTACCTGGCTGGCGACATTCACGCCCTGTAACGTCGGCGTGTGGCGATAGGCGCGCCCAAGGCTCCAACAGCAGCAGCAGTAACAACAACGGCGTCGACGAACAAAACAACAGCGCCTCATAGCGATCATGACAACAACAACAAAAAACAACACAGCAACAACAACAATAACAACGGCGGAGGCGGCGACAACATGCGCTTCACCTGCTGAATAGCCGGGTGATGCCTGTGCATGTGGACTTGCTGAATCTTGCGCGCGTTCGGGAACGCTCTCTTGATGTACTGGTCCACGGACTTCAGGCCGTACGTCGGCAGCGTCGCGGCTGCCAAGACTTCACAAGGCAGCGACAAGGGGTAAGCCAACAAATTCGTGACTTAAGAAGGAAGCGACGGGGCTAAGCCAACACATGGGTTGAGCCAACGAGCGCTGGAATCATGAGGAGGAAGACGGAACCAGGCTCTTTTTTGGGACGCAATTTCGTGTAGCGTCGCGGCCGGCAACACTCAAAACGACAACAACAAAAGCAACAGCAACAACAACAGCAGGCAGCAGTAAAAGCAGCAGCAGCAGCAGCAACAACAACAAGTCAACAACAATAGAGACAGCAGCAATAGCAGCAGCACCACCACTACCACCACCAGCAGAAGAGGGTAGAAAGAGAAGACATGCACAAAAGACGGGGAAAAGGGGCGCGCCATCTGCCGAGACAAAACCAGCGCCGCGCATCGACCCATACAGAAAAAAACAAAACACCTACACCCACACCCACACAACCAACCTAACACGAACCCAAAAAACGAGCCCAAAGACACACACAAACACGCGCGCGCGTTTCGTACAGCAGTAGCTCACCATACTGCGTCTTGTCGATGCCGCGTTTCCTGCCCCTGCCGTCCACGATCGGGCCCTCCTCCACCATCACCCTGTCCGCCCGGCGGAAGGCCACGAGGATGTCGTCCAGCTGCTTCCTGTAGCTACCCTCCATCAGCATGTCCGCCTCGTCTAGCACCAGGGTCGTCGCCTTTTGTTACCGCGGCAGCGCGGGGGGGGGTACTCATTGATTGCATGCCTTAGATGTTTGACCATTTTCCACTAGCGGGGGCGGGGGGGGGGGGGACCCCTTGGTCCTATGCCCTAATTTGTTTACCCCTGACCCCTAA